TTTTACTTCAATAAATCAAAATCAAGATTAATTGATTATACAAATGTAAGTTATTTATTTGATCCACGCAAAGTTTGATCACAAACTATTTATGTATTTACACATAGTTATATAGCTATATCACGACATTTTATAAAGCAAACTATAAATGCTATATCTTCAACCCATACAAAAATACTAGCAATTCATAAGGCAAATTGATAATGCATATGTTTAAGATCAACAACCTATCATATCCAAGAGACATGCAATTTATCTACCAAAATTATTTTTTACATGTGATCTTCATCGGAATGGTAGTAATATTAATATCCAATAAATTTGATTAAGTAACAATCCAACAGATTTGTTTACTAAGACTAATCTATCATAATTTTTTAGATGATTCATAATATTAGAATGTGTCATCTTAAAAATCTTAAATCTTAAATAATTTTTTTAACATGAGAATCCAAGCATGAAGATTAATGTGTATAAGAAATATGATATTTTTTTTCTTCACTAGGATTTTTTTCCATTGGGTTTTTTCTAGTAAGGTTTTAACAAGACATGTTTTTTGTCCGATAAGCATTCAAGAAGGAGTGTTATGAAATAATGAATGTTCATAATCATTCTTATTTTCATAACTAATCGTATTTTTTAATGAGATTCACTTCACCATTATCATTCATAATGACATAAGAATTAGCATTTGATTCAGCCTATCATGAATCTTTTCTAGTCATTTTTAATTCTCTTCCTAATTCTAAAATCTATAAATAGAATTAATTCATTAGTTGGTTGGTGTTTTTCTTCTTCTTCTTCTTCTTTTTTTTTTTTCTAGTATAAGGATTGGAAGAGTTATTTTGAAATTACTATCACTAGTATTCATTCATAATAAAAAAATTTTATATAGTTTTGATTTTTAATTCTATTATTATTACTGTATCTTTTATAACAAATTTGAAGTACAATTCAAGTAAATGGTATGTAACTCTTTTATCATTAAGACTAATCCCCCGAATTAACCATTTCAATCATTACCAGTTACCCGCTGGACCGTGAATTCAACGGTCCAAATATTTCACAGGCCAAATTTTTCCATTCAAACGGTGGGCAAGACCTGTATGGAATAGAATTAAAAATTCACGATTCACAACCGACATTTGACCATAGACCAAATAGCTATTAGCTACCTACATCCCTATATGCTCTGTTAAACGGTAGTTCGTAATGATTACTATTTTTTTTTTTCATTTTGAATAATTGAAAAATAAATTTTGTGAAGAAAAGAAATAAATAACGAATACTATATATAAAGAAAAACAATTTTGGAAGTGAATTGCTAAATCGATCGTGCAGAAATTATTATATATCTAAAAGATATGATGTTGTGACTATTCACAATCCTATTTACTTTTTTTTTCGTATACTATATATATATTTTTTTGTCCTTTCTTTTGTTTCAAGTTCATCTCTCTTTCTCTTTTATTTTTTTTAGTTTCAAGTACTATTTTTTTTTCAAGTTGTTATGAATACATGATTTTTTTTTCTTTATTTTTTTTCATCAAGTTAAGTGTTTTTTATTTAATTTTTTAAAAAAATTTCAGGTGGTTTTATTTTGATCTCTTTAGGTTTTTTAATTTATTTTTAAAATTTTTTTTAGGTTATTTCATTTTCATCTCTAAAATTTTAAAATAAAAATTTTAATCCTCTATCCGATACAATACTCATGTCCTTTTTTTTTCTTTTTTTTTTTTCATCAATTTATGCTCTTTTTTTTATTTAATTATGTGTTAAAATTTTAAAAATTTAATCGTTACTTTTTTTCCATACAAATTAACGATTATATAATATATACAATATTTTTTATATTTATATGATATGTTTCTTTATTTTATTATGATTTTTTTTTCAAGTTATTTCACTATACATGCCTTTTTTAATTTAATTTTTTTCCCATCAATTTAGGTTCTTTTTTTAATTTAATTTTTTTCTTTAATTTTTCAGTTGTTTCATTTTAGTCTCTAAAATTTTGAAATAAAAATTTTAATCCCCTAACCGATGCACTACTCATGTCTTTTTTTTTCCTTTGCTTTTTTCAATCAATTTATGTTCTTTTTTTATTTAATTAGGTGTTAAAATTTTAAAAAATCAATCATTGCTTCTTCTTTTTCACACAAACCGACGATTATATAATATGTACGATATTTTTTACATTTATATGATATGTTTTTAGATTTTACAATAAATATAAACTACTCTTATTATATAAAATTATTTTTTTGATAAAAATTCTCATCAAATTAATTTTTATTTTTATTTTTTATAACTTTATTTATTAATAAATATGGCTTATTTTCTCTATGTATGGATTCGAATAAGTTTTTTTAATACATGTTTTTATTTACTTAATTCTTATGTAATCAATTTTAAAAAATTGAATATATGTATTTTATTTTCCGAGTTTTTACATAATCAAAGTTTATCGAAATTAGTTTTATAGTTTTTACTGCACTCTATTAGCTTCAATATATATTTTTTCATTTAATTTTTTTAAAAAAATTTTAATTTATTTAATACATTCTCACCTATTGAGTACAATCATCATATATCAAAAGTAATAACATTAGAATCATTGATTTTTATTAGAAATCAACTATGCATCTACACACATAATACAAATTATTTACTATTATTTTTTTAATATTTAAAATAATTTTTTCAATTGAAATAATTAAAATAATATTTTAGAATAACCGCTTAATAATTTAAATACAATTTTGTATACTAATATTATTCATTATTTTGTAATAAATATATATAAATCAAATGTATATATTTTAAAAATTAATCTTCTTATTAGTAAAAAATTTTCATTTGTTAATTTTCATATAAGTTTTTATATTAATTATTGCTTTATTTCTTCGATGCAATGTAATGAAAAAAATATTAAGATGTTTTTTTAAAATTTATTTAATATGGGTTTTATTTAAGAATAAATGCATATGACAAAACAAATCATATTTTTTGACTTCAAAATTTATTCGGTTTATATATATTAATTAAAAATTATAAAATTAGATGAAATGTATTCTTTTATATTTAATTTAATATATTTTAATTAGCTAATAACATAATATATGTTATCAAACTGAAATAAATATGTTTAATTTGTTCTATAGCATAGCGTGAGAATCCGAACTATTGATATGTCCGAAATTCCTATTCCTTCACTCGTTCATATGCATAAAATTACTATTCACTTGATGGCAAGTTAAGTAATTTTTGTGTATTTTTGAGCATTAATATGTAAATTTAACACTTTTTTCTATTTTTCATCCCTCGTGTTGTAACATTTTTTTTCAATCCTTAGTTTTCATTTTTTTTTTCATTTTCACACGGTACACACACACACACACACTATCTTTTAATATTTTAAAATTAACACATACGTCGACTCATATTACTTTTATCATTTAAATTTCATTCTTTGGATTGAATTTATCATTTTTTATGAAAATTCTCATCCAATTAATATTTTTTTATATAAGATTTTATTTACTGATAAATATAATTTATTTTTCTCTATGTTTGAATTTTAGAATAAAATTTTAAAACAAGATTGATTTTTTTAAAAATAAATTGGTATAATAAATATTATGAATTCTTAAAATTTGTAAAAGATATTTGCACATATATAAATATATAATTATCTTATTCTCATAAGTTAAAAGTATATTTCAACTAATTTGTCTCAATTCACTGTATATGGTCAAGACATATAAAAAAAACTTTTGAATCGTTGATTTTATTAAAAATTAACTATACATATTCCTACATAATACAAACTTTTTACTATGAATATTTTTGTCACATTATAGAACCAATTTATTTGTAATAAAATAATTAAAATAAAATTTTAAAGGAACGAACCAATTATTCAAATATAGTTTTTTATGCTAATTTTGTTGATTATTTTGTAAATAAATATATATAGATCTAATGCATATATTTTCAAAAAATAATCTTCTCACTATCATTAAATAAGAATAAATTTTTATTTTTTCATTGGTTAATTTTTATGCAAGTCTATACATTAATTGTGATTTTATTTTTTGGATACATTCTTATAAAAAAAAATAATTTTAAAGTATTTACTTTTGAATTCTTAATTAATATTTTAGATTTAAATTATTACAAGTTTTTATTTTAGAATCCTTGAATAAAGAAGAATAAAACATTTTTTAAGCAAAAAAATTTATGAAAAATACAAAAAAAAAAATTATGAAAAAAAAATGATGAAAAAATTATAAAAAATTTAAATGATTTTGTTCTATCTATCCGTAGCATTAAACGGATAATTTCAAAAATTAATCTTCTCATTAGCATTAAATAATAATTTTTTTCATTTGTTAATTTTTATAAAAGTCTGTCCATTAATTATAACTTTATTTTTTAGAATATAATATTATAAAAATTATATTTTTAAAGTTTTTTTAATTCTTGATTAATATTTAAGTTAAAATTATTATATTTTTTATTTTAAAATCAATCTATAAAGAAGAATGATTTGTGTTTTTTTAAACCAAAAATTTATTAAAAAAACATTAAAAAATTAATTAATTATGATTAAAAATTTTTAAATGATTTTTTTTTTACTAGACCCACGGCATAGCAAGGGCAAGCGACTAGTCTCTTTCTAAATTAAAATTGATTCTCCAAATTAAGCTTAATTTTGTGCAAGAATTTTCCTTCACGTAAACTTGAGATTTTCTTCAATTTGCTGTCGTGCTTTCCGTGAATTTAGCAGGACCCGCAATAATAAAAACTAATATTTGAGCCGTGAATTCAAAAGCAGGCTCATTCAGTCACTACGTGTAGCCCATTAAGAAAGCCCATATTAATATATGGCCTGGACGCTTCTAAACTTCAAATCTCCCGCGCGTTCACATGTTTCACACTTTCCTTTAATTTTTACCAAAATCTCTCATTCGAAATCCAAAAGAAAAATGAAAAAAATGGAAGATCTCTGCAAACCGTCGATGAAATTCTTCACCGATCAAGAAATCTGTTACGCCGATATCCTCACTCCTTCAGAGGTATTAATCATCATTAACATAATAATTATTGATCCTTAATCAATTAAAAAAAAGTGTTTTTTTTTTAAAGGTTCGAGCGAGAATCGAAGTAGCGATGCTAAATTTTCTTAAGATTTTGACTTCTCCTGATCCCGCTATCTCAGATCTCCCTTTGGTATGATCATTTATTAAGCTAAATAATTGTAATTTTGGTTTTTATATTTGCTAAATGAATCTTTTGAATGGATGGAAAGGTAAATAGAAAAACGAGTAATCGGCGAGTAAGTCGAGGAGTATTGACAGATGATTCATCGATTTTCCTCTCCCGTTCATTTTGTACAAGGTCTTTAATGAGAGCTAATGCAGCTAAAGCATTTATTAGAGGTAACTAGACCAAAATTATTTCAGCTGATTTCTTTCTTTCTTTCTTTTTGATTAACCATGTGAAATAAAATCTCTCTTTTGTCTGGGCAAATAATGTAGTGTGGAAGGTGATGGAGATGTGCTTTAAGATTTTGTTACAAGAAAAGCGGACAACGCAGCGTGAGCTGTTTTATAAGTTGCTTTGCGATTCGCCAGATTATTTCTCGTCTCAATTGCAGGTTAATCGGACAATCCAAGGTCTGTTTAATCAACTTTTTAGGGTATTGGTTTTTGCTCAATTGAGAGAATGATGTTAAATACGCGTGTTGCAGATGTTGTAAGTTTGCTTCGGTGCAGTCGTTATAGTCTTGGAATCATGGCATCCAGTAGAGGAATTGTTGCTGGCCGCTTGTTGTTGCAGGCAAATAATTGAATGTTGATTTCTGTTTGGTAGTGCAGGTTTTGAAGCAAATGGCAATAGGTCTCTTCACGGTCTTTGGTTTCTTGGTTTTATGTGATAGGAGCCAGACAAAGAGGTTGTTGATTGTTCTGAATGTGGATCTTCTGGGTATGCAATTTCTGGGGACTTGAATTTGTTGGACAGATTGGTTATGAAGACAGATGCCCGCTACATTATTATTGTGGAGAAGGTATTTGTTTATTTTGGTTTTTTTCATCAAATTTCTTATGGGATTTCCAGTTTTCAGGCAATATGCGACCCTTGTGGGTTTGTGCAGCATGCGATATTCCAGCGATTGGCTGAGGATCGTGTATTCAATCAGATTCCAAGCATTCTTATTACAGCCAAAGGATACCCAGATATAGCCACAAGGTAAAATTGATGCTCTTATGTTAATTATCTTCTTCGTTGCTTCATTTTAATCACAATGTTAAATGCCATAGGTTTCTTCTTCACCGAATGAGCCAGAATTTTCCCGAGTTGCCAATCATGGCACTGGTTGACTGGTATGGCTGACCTTAAATACTTGCAACTCTAATGGGCATACTCTAGTTCTTCCACATTTTGTAGCTCTAATGGGCATACTTAGTTCTTATACATTTGTCCTGGATTCACCTATACAAGGAATCCAGCTGGATTAGCTATACTATGCACCTTCAAGTTCGGAAGCATAGGAATGGGTCTCGAGGCCTACAGATATTGTGAGTTTTTGTGTTGTCTTTCTGATTGTTATCTATTACATCCCCTTATCTCGAAACGACAACAATTGCTAATTGGGTTCTTCCTTTCTAAGCATGCAATGTGAAGTGGCTTGGACTGCGAGGTCATGATCTTCAGCTAATACCTGAAGAATCCTTAGTCCCATTGAAGCCAAGAGATTTGCAGATAGCTGAAAGTTTGATGTCCTCAGAAATTTTGCAGGTACGCTATCAAGCATATTACCCCACTCTTTCAATTTCTCAAGATATTAGCTCTATTAAGGTGGAGGTGCCATACACTCTATGCCAACAGATTAGTTCAGAAAAAAAAAAAAAAAAATATATATATATATATATATATATGTAAACCTATACAGCACCTTTACTCTTTAACGACATAATTTACGAAGTCGATTCTACTTGACAGGAGAAACATAGAGAAGAATTGGCGTTGATGGTTCAGAGTGGCAAAAGAGCAGAAATCGAAGCTTTATACTTCCATGGATACGATAATTTGGGTAAGTACATGGCTAAGAAAATCGTACAAGCCAACTACATCTAATGGTAACAGAATCACAGAGCTCCATGTAGCAGTTATATGCTACTGACGACCAAGAAATTATTCACTACATCTAATGAGCGTCATGATCCAAACTCTTGCCAAGAGCTCCACCCGTTGCATATAGATGCATATGTAATTACCTTGTAATCAGGTAAGGCAACAAACTTAAGACATGAACCAATCATGGAAGGATCTGAAAATTCAATCCACGACTGATATGGAGCTGAAAGGCATCAATTATTTCAGGAAGCCTATCACAAATATCAGTTTTTATTATTGTTAGCAAATGCATCGAAGTAGAAACTAAAACAGAAACTCTCGTCCACCTTGGTCTAAAATAAAAGCAGACTCTTAACCAGACATTAGAAGATTAGTTAACAGCTGCAGTTAACTGAACCCAAATCCAAAATCCCTTTCTCAAAGGGCAAAACATGGATGACGATGCCACAGTCAATAGTCAGATTAGATGAAAATTACACAAGAACAGCAAAAAGATAAAGCGCAAAGCACAAAATGATCGATTACTTCAGAACAATTTATATGTTCTTTCAATGACAAAATTGTTCCAGGAAATTATTCTGATACAACTCTCATCCAAGCATGAACAATATTAATGAATTTTAGACTCAAAGTGAGGATAAAAACATAGCATAATTACCAGCAAAATTTCAGTTCACTAAAATGAATCTAACAATACATAAGCGTAAATCAGATTGTAAACCAATCTCAGCAACAATATACAAACCTAACAGCATCGCAGTTTGTAACCTAAATTCAGCTTTTCCTGGATGTTAAACTCACTCTCTTTCCATTGACAGAGAACTTCTTACTGCCTTCCAACTGCAGCCATCATAAAGAAAGAATGTCAGGTCAGAATTGTACAGCCAAAGTCCACAAGGGAGAAGCAATAAAGCTACTGATTAAAAAGGAAAATTTAAAGGGAAAAAAGTGAGAAAAGGCTGCCATATCTTTCTGAGAATTATTAAAAAATGGTTGGCTGCAAATCGCTGAATGTTAGCTAGACGTCCATACCTTTTGCTTCAAGTAAGCAACAGCATCTCTCCTGGAAGTGAAATTTGAAAAAACGGCAGGTGAATGTTCCTCAACCAGACTTTTAAGCTTTTTAAGCTTTAATGACTCTCCCTGTACCTGGATAATTCATTCATTAGAGACGAAAACTATCATTTGCTTCAAATAGCTAGCAATGTTAAGTGCCACACCTGACGCAAAAGCCTTTTACACAGCCCTTTCAACTTCACTTTTTGTTCATTGATTTCCTCCATTTCTGGAGTGTCCTCCCATTTACGTTTTACTGAGGAACAGAAATGAACAGAATCCTTGTCAACAATTTTCTCTTCAATATTTTCTATTTCTAGAATGTCATCACATTTTTGTTTTGCCAAGGAAAAATCATCAGAATCTTGATACTCAACATCAGAATCATCATCATCAACAGATCTAGAATCCTCATCATCACTGTCGTCAAAGGTGGTTTTTTTCCCCTGAAAGCGAACCCCAGCTATTTTCTTTGGCCGATCCTTAATGCCCAATCCTTGCTTTCCAGATGTGGCTTTATCCTAGAAACAGAAAAGAATGCAAATCAATTACTCCCCCTTTCACGACACTGCACAACATTCCTGACACAGCCTTTATAAAATATCAATTTTTTTCTGAACACAATCAGCATATCCGTCATGTTTCAGTACAGTTTTTATCCTGTTCCATTCAGGAATTTCCTTGAGATATATAATCAAGCATTGGTTAGGAGACTGGAAGGCCAAACATTCAATATTTATCCTTCCAGAACTCATGCGGTTACAAAATTCAAAGAAAACCATAGACCAAAAAGGGGGGAAAAAAGCAATAGTATCCAAAGAAAAAATTCCATGAAAGAGCACATACTTGAACAAGTTTGTAGAGATTCTCTTGATCCTCTTCAAAGAACATAGCCCTCTCTTTACAATTGTGAGCATTAGCAGTTCTGGTTGATTTCTTTTTGGTAGACTTCGCTCCAAGTAACCCTCCAGAGACAAACCCATATTTATAACCCCACCAATCTGGAGGAAGATCTTCAACTTTGCTTCCTGTCACAATGAGCTGAAGGTTATTCTACGTGATCAATCTTCTCCAATCAGCAGCTAAATGAAAACTAACATGAAATATAGCTTTTCATAAAAAATTAAAATGATCAGATACAATGCAATTTGCACATTTATGTAGAGAAATCTGTGCCAGAGATGACTGAATAAGGTTTATGAAGAACATGACAAAGAAGGCCCTTGGATTCAAATGATTTCAATCCCAAATTACCTAAAATGAACAACCAAATTGAAAACCCTAACACTAACACCAGCAGTGGCGTTGAACAATATATTTTTGCACAGTAACTTCAATTTTGGATAAGTTCTACAAACAGATAATCATCAGATGTATCTGAAACTATATGACACGTGATTCAAATGGTCATCATCATTATCTTGAGAAGCATATATGCAAGCTTGTCTTGTCAAGCTGACCTGACTCCTTCGTATAAAATCACCCTGTAGAACTGGCTTGTCAAAAGCACAGGGCACAAAAAACTAGGAGTCAAGGGAAAATAGCAAAAATACTATAAAATCATTAATTTTTAAAGGTTGCATCGATCTAAAAAACACATGAGCAAATGAACAAAAAGTGCATTAAACAAAATCCAAAATATGCCATTATCAAAAAAGAAACCTGCTATCTCCATATATTTGTATTTTACCTCCAAGATACCAGGTTTTACTCTCGAATGCTGATTCAGACTCCAACTCATTGTCTGGATTTGGATCTGTCTGAGGTGACTCCTCAGATTTTTTTACCTGTGACAAAATAATTGATTACTAAGGATGAAAAATATGATTCTTTTTTAATACTAACTTGCAACATACATCAAAGATAAGTATGGTGACCAATGGAACAAGAATCTATCAGAAATTGGATATTTAAAATTCATAACTGAAAATTGAGCTTTCTCCCATCAATACTATGCATTTTCAATACATTATAACATATATATTCTTCAGCTTATCAACTATAAGTCCATAGTCTACAACAAATCTCACATATAGTACTGATGTGAACTCAAAGTTCATGCTTTAACCGTTTCACAAACATTTAGTTTCCTAGTTTTAAGACTTACAAGAATTCCCGAGAGATCTTTTGAAGAATATGCATTGACGAGCTTCCCTCTCTCTCTTTTATGATATCTGATAAATAATGCTGCTGCTGGTTAGTATTTATTAAAATAATTCTTCCATTCATTAACCAAAACTGATACCCAAACATACAAGAAAAGAAAAATTCAAATATAACTACAGCACCACCAACACGAACCTTCCCCGTGCTCGAGTAACCTTGACAACTTGTTCCTCGGCATCATTAGTTGCTTCAGTCTTAATTGTTTCTTCACTGTTGTTATTCACAATCTCTGTCGGACAAAAAAAAAAACTAAATTTATGAGCTCACAATTCAATAGGAATACCAACATTAATCAAATCAAATTCCATTATACCTTCATCTTTACTTTGCACAGCTTGCTGTCAATCAAACACAAAAGGAAAAAAATTGACAATCAATTTTCATGGAAAAAAAAAATACAGAATTAGCAAATATTATGATTTACTGGAATCTCGGTTGAATAATTAAGACAAAAACATACCACTTTCAATCTTTTAAGAATGCTATCAAATTGAGTAGTGTCAAATGCCCAATTATTCGGCTTCTCTACTCCAACACCTGTGGTGTCCTGTTTGTTTTTGACTCTAACATAACCTTTGATCCCCTGTTTATCTTTCCCTAACCCCTCTCCTTCTTCCCATCCCTGGAAAAATTAACAAACACGCAATTGGAAAACCAAACAAGCGAAAGGAACAGACGTATCAGAGAGGGGGGAAACTACCATTTGTTTCATAAGACGGAAAGCAGGGGATTCTCTGACAATACCGACATAACGGAGAGGGGCTTCAGGCGCGGCCATTTTTGCCGCTTTTGCTTCTCCTTCTTCTTTGTTTTCTCGTCGAGTTACAGGTGCCGTCGTTTCGAGGAGTGAAAGAGGAGGAGAATTTGGACGGGAGAGGCAATTGAAAAACCCTACAGAGGGAGGCGGGGAATTATTCGGTGGGTTTGGAGTGTTTTGTGTTCAGTGGGGATGCGTGGGATTTAGCGGTTAAGATTTGATGATGTCGTGGTGGATTTTGGCTCTCTGATCTGACGTGTATGATTCTCTTTCGTCTTGGCGGTTGTATTTAACGACACGTAGAAGTTTATTTAATTGCTCCATCGAGGAAACCACGTCGTTTCCTTCGCTATTTTTCTTATTTAAAGATAATTTTCCGCCACCATATTTTTTGAGGTAAAAAGACCGCAATTGGTAGATTATTTATTTTCTAAGGTTAAGAAGCGAATGGGAATGTTGAATCCCTTTGAGAGTGATGATGAAGTCTGCTTTTCTGGCCCTTAAGCAGCAGCATGATAGACTGCCAAGTATTAAGACACATTGATCGTATTTAATGACAATAGATTTTATATATCGTTGCTTTTTTCTTTTTTCTTTTTTTCCTTTTTGTTCTGGTTATAAATCCCATTTTATTTCTTAAATAATGGGGGCCACGCTACAACATAAATGATTAATTAATTGAGGATTACATGCATGACAAAATGTTTGTTGGCAGGTATTATATTGCATGAATTTATTTGGTTTTTTTATTTGATAGTAAACAGTATTTTCAAATCAATTTATATTTTAGTAAAAATTTAGTTTTTTTTCTGAATAATCTTAAGAATATATGCTCCAATTACTTTAATATATGTTAGATTATTTTTTAATGAAATAGTTTTTAAAAAAGATATTAAGAAAAAAACAAAAAAAAGAAGAGGTATAAGTTATATTTTGAAACAAGTAACTTATACCATTGAAAAATGTAATGCATATAAGTTACTATTTTGAAACAATAACTTATACCGTTAAATGATGCTTTTTAAAGGCTGCAATAGTTTTTTTCTTTCTTTCTTATTCAATGAACAAATGTCTTTTTTTTTTATTCTCAACATTTCTTTTCTTTTTACCATTCAATTCATTTATTTTTTTTAGTTAATTCAATTGTCCAACGGATAATTTTTTTTACTATATGAATGGCTCTAGCCATTTGATGAAAGACACACTACAACAATAACATTTTCTTGCCTTGTGGAGAGTGAAAAAATAACAAGCAATTTTTTCTTTATTTTGCTTAGAGAGAAAATGTTTCTTTCAATTTTATTACTTTCATTAAAAGCCATATTGTTTTTTGGTTAATTTTTTCGTTGGGTAACAATGGTGCTAGTTTATAATTGAGTTTCAAGTTTTACAAATAATGCAAATTTGTTAAGACACGACAAGGTGATTGAGCTTGTTGTATTCCCGGGACGGTGTGCAATATATTCTTGATCCGTTGCATTAGATAAAATTCTACGGACAGGTGCAAGCGTCTCATGAAAGCAACTCTGGTTGTGCCTCGAAATAGTCACCTATAAAATTCTAGTAAAGTTGCTTTAATGTTTTTCATTCAAAAATTTCGGGTAGTATTTTTCTTATTTTTCTAACAATTTGAAATGATACCTACTAATAGAAAACACTAATATACATGGGCAAAGCTCTACTAGAATGGGTGATCTTAACAAACCCTTTCGCTTTCGTGATGCAAATTTCAAAAGATGGAGGCACACGACTTTATTTTATCTTATTCTATTGAATGTGAGCTATGTCTTAACCGAAAAAAGTTCTAAGAAGAAGAAAACTCGAAATATGAGTGATGAATAGATAGCTCAACATGAAATAGAAGTTAAGAAATGGAAAAGAGATTGTGATCATTGTAGAAATTATTTACTAAATTATCTCTTTGATGAGCTTTATGACTATTATGATCAAGGATATTCTTCTATTAAGAAGATCTAGAAGGCTCGGATCAAAAATATGACACTAAAGAAATTAGATCCAAAAAATATGCTTGCGAGTTGTTTTGTCAAGTTTCAATTGAATGAAGAAAAGCATGTGATGGATTAAGTTTATGAACTTCAAATGATTGCATATGACATCCGCTCGGAAGGCATACGTGTAGATGAGCGAATACAAGTTTCAACCATCATTGACAAGTTGCCGAATCATGGAAAGATTTTGCTAAAGGCTTAAGGCATAAACAAAAGGAGCTTTCCATTGAAGCTCTTATTACTTGTCTAAGGGTTGAAGAGGAAGCAAGAAATTGAGACAAAACTATTGAACTTAATGGTTCAAATGGTACTAAGATAAACTTTATCACCTTTAATGAAACTCCAATCACATGTCAAAAGCCAATGGAAAGTTTAATAGGCAACATAAGCCAAAGAAAAAAATTTCAAGAAAAAGCCTTATGAAAACCAATATCACTCCAACCAACCAAAAAATTATGGATCATATCTCAAACCACCACCAAACAATGGCAAACATAATAATGCTTATGCTTATTTTGTTTGTGGTAAATCCGGGCATGTTGCAAAAAATTATCACCTTCGAAAACATGGGCTCGTTGCTCAAGCTAATGTTATCGAAGAGCCACATATGACTATAATTTCTAAGATTAATATTCTTGAAGGCTCGGATGGATGATGGGTTGATTCAAAAGCTACTCGACATGTCTCTTATGATAAAAAATTATTCAAAACATATTTATTCAAAACTAATGTAGTGGGGGTTGGAGATGTACTCATTAAATTTACATTGAGAAGAGAGGTTACTCTCAAAGATGTTCTACATGTATCTAAAATTCGTAAGAATTTGATTTCCGATTTTCTCTTGAATAAGGTCTGGCTTTAAGTTATTGAGGCTCACCAATATATACTTTCCAAAAAAGGCTTATTTATTAGAAAATGTTATGCTTATGATGAGATGTTTAAACTTAATATTGAAATAAATAGTGAAAGATCCACTTCGTTTATATTGTTTCTTGTATGAATGTTTGGCATAGTAGATTATGTCACATAAATTGCAAATGTGTGAAAAACTTGAGTAATCTTGGTTTAATCCCTAAACTTGAAAATGAGTTTGAAAAATGTGAATCTTGTAGCATGGCTAGAATTTCAAGAAAACCTTTTAAAAGTATTGATCATAATTTTGAATTATTAGAACTAATACATACTGATATATATGAATTTAGTGGTATTCTAATTCGTAGTGGTAATCGTAATTTTATAATTTTTATTGATTATTTCTCAAAATATTCATATGTTATTCTTATTAAGCATAAAAATGAAGCTTTTGAAAAATTTACTAATTTTTTAAAAGAAGTTGAAAACAAATTTGGTAAAAAGATCAAAAGGCTTTGAAGTGGTTGAGGAATGGAATATGGCTCTATTAGTTTCAATAATTTTATGCAAACTAATGGTATTGTGCATGAAATTACAACTCCATATTCACCTTTCTCAAATGATGTAGTAGAAAGAAAAGACGAACTCTAATTAATTTGTAAATTCTATGCTTTTTAGTTCTAATGCTCCAAAGAATTAATGGGTTGAAGTTGTTTTATCTCGTAAATTTTTTTTTTAATAGAATTCCTCACAAAATGACATTTTTAACTCCTCATGAATTATAAAAAGATTATAAGCCAAAATTAATTTTTTTAAGAGTGTGGGATTGTTTAGCTTTTGTTAGACTACCTAATCCTAAAAGACCAAAAGTTGATAAAAAAAAAAAAAAAAGCTTCTACTTATACTTTTTTAGGTTATGCTTTGAATAATAAAGCTTATAGATTTTTTAATTTTGATAATAAAACTATTATTGAATCTTTGGATGCTATTTTTCATGAAAATAAATTTCCTTTTAAAATAGAAAATAGTGGAAGTATGATTCTTCAACCAAGTGTTGAAGCTTCTTCTTCAAGATTTGAAAATAAAAATGATTTTGAACCTATAAAAAGTAAACAAGTCGGGTTTGAAAAAAATTTTAGTTGTGATTAATACTTATATAATATATAAGATGATCTCATTTCTTTAGAACAAGCTTTATCTTCTCTTGATGCATACTTTTAGAGAGAAGTTATTAATGATGAAATGGATTCTTTAATTTCAAATGATACTTAAAAAATAGTTGAATTGCCTCTTAGTTGTAATACAATTAGATGTAAATGGGTACTTAAAAAGAAATTGAATCCTAATGGGTCTATAGATAAGTTCAAAGCTAAACTAGTTCCAAAGGTTTTAAACAAAAAGAAGACATTGATTTCTTTGATACTTTTTCTCCAATACCTAAGGTAACATCTATTAGATTGCTTATTACAACTGTTGCTATTCATAACTTATTTATACTTCAGATGGATGTAAAGACAACTTTTTTAAATAGAGATTTAGAAGAAAAAATATATATGAATCAACTCTGAAGGTTTTATAGCACAAGGTGATGACAATAAGATATGCATGTTACAAAAGTCTTTATATGGTTTAAAACAAACACCTAAACATTGGCATGAAAAATTTGACGCTTGTTTACTTAATGATGGTTTTAAAGCAAATGAAAGTGACAAGTGCATATATTATAAATCCTTTGAGAATGTTCATGTGATTATATGCTTATATGTAGATGATCTTTTAATTTTTTATCCAAATATGAATTTTATTAATAATACTAAACTATCGTTTTCAAATAATTTTTATATGAAGGATTTAGGTGAAGTAAATATGATTCTTAGCATAAGGTCTCTAGAATTTCAAGTGGAATATTTATTGATCAATTTATTAATGTAGGTGTCCAAGATCCAACCATGTTTGGATGGATTTGAGTTATTGTATTATTGTATCATTTATTTTAATAATATGATAAAAAAGTCTTTTTATTGATTCTTGTCATTTACATTTATTGATTGAATATAAATAGATAGAAGTTCATATGATATGCATTTACATTATTAATTGATCGAAAGATGTGAGACAAACACCAATACACATAAATGATATCATTAAATATCTAAAGTT